ACCAATTTCCTATCGAGGTGTTCCATTTCTGGACTATTTTGCTGCAATAGCTCCCCCCCTTCGCACCCGTTGCGAACAACGTGGTCAACTCTGCTCGGTAACAAACTTCATTCTATTAAACCGAGCATAGGTTTACTGGCCGTCTTCTTGTCATCAGTGCCGAGGTTGGGAGACCACTCTCTCCCGCCTTCGCATTGCCACACTCGTTCTTACTCATGGGTATCTCATGGAGAGGCACCCTGTTCCTCTCTGTGAGCAGTGTCAAGTTCCAGTATCGATTAGCCACATTCTGTTAGACGCCCTCTCTATCAACGAGCACGCAGAATTTACCTCCAACGTCGTCTTCGTTCCCCTACTCCTCTCTTTACCTTCCCTTCTGCTGATGGACCCTCCTTTAATCCTGACTCTCTCATTGACTTCTTGACAACGACTGATTTACTCCACAAACTCTGATGATACTTTTCGCACTCCCCTCAGCCCTTTCTGGTTCAGTCTCTTGCTGCCCTTTACCCTTTCACCATCCACTGCCCCGCTGTTATCCGTAACCTGTTGCTCATCCATCTCCCTTTTGCCACCTGATGCCCTCGCTTCCTTCCTGCCCTGCAGCGCTGTATAGTCCTTGTGGCTTAGCGCTTCTTTTTGATTATAATAATAATATAATGGTTATAATGTGGGATTTACAGGTTTTGGGTATTGTGTGGTTTACATGTTATAAAATACTAATTACAGAGGGGGCCACTAGGACACCTAGCATGGCTAGGCATTTCGAGCAGACTAAGATTAATTCTTAACATTAAATTCTTACAGATTATGGTATTAAGGGTAAGTGACTACATCATAATTTGTGAGTTTAGCAATGTGAATGCTTTTGTTTGGCACAATACAAAGTGTCTATATTGGAGTATCATAGGCAGACTTATGACTAGTTAGGATTTATTATAAGATTAAGATTAGTATTTCTGGGTTTATAGTCAGTGGGTGAGTGAGTGTAATTGTGAACCACCAGGTGGTTATCATGTAGTTAGTTGTCGGGGTGTATCAGGGAGATAAGATGTTTTCTAACTGTAGTTATGAAAGTGTTGAATGTGTCTGCAGTTCTAGAGTTCTCAGGTAGGGTGTTCCAGATTTTAGGTCCTTTGAAATAAATTGAATTTTTGTAAAGGATTAGTCGAACACGGGGAATGTCATAGAGATGTTTGCGTCTGGTGTTATGCCTGTGGGTTCTGTCACAACTATCAAGAAAGCGTTTTAGGTCAAGGTTAATATTGGAATTTAAGGTCCTGTAGATATAGATTGCACAGTAGTAAGTGTGGATGTACTGAACAGGGAGTAAGTTTAGATCTATGAAGAGTGGGGGGTGTTGCCAGGGATGGGATTTAGTGATTATTCTTACTGCGGCTTTTTGTTGGGTTATTATTGGCTTTAGGTGTGTTGCTGCAGTTGATCCCCAAGCACAGATAGCATAGGTGAGGTATGGATATATAAGTGAATGGTATAGTGTGAGAAGGGCAGTTTGCGGCACGTAGTATCGTATCTTGGAGAGGATCCCCACCGTTTTGGATACTTTTTTTTGTTATGTGTTATGTGTCGGTCGGTTCGGTTAATACCTGAATTATTTCGATAGTAAATGCCATAGATATTGTCCTTTTTCTAGGATTACAACCGTTCATTTGTCAACATTAAACTGCATCTGCCACTTCTTCGACCACAACATCATTCTCTCCAGATCATCAAGCAAGATTCTCATCTGAAATTATTTGTCACGTCGGTCTGGAGCTTTTTGACTCTCTGATCGCGGATTCTAACCCCACCCGTGGTATGGTTTGTTTGCAATAGTGTCAGTACGTCATCAGGAGCTGTGCAATGTTGTAAAAGCAGAAACAGGAGAAATGAGGTAGTTCTGATGTACTGATGATTTTTTTGCCTTTGGCCTAGAGATCATAACATTGATGAGTTCCTACTTACACTCAATGATCTGGTACCTTCTATTAGGTTCACAACAGAACATGAAATAGATAACACTCTACCTTTCCTAGATGTTTTAATCCATCGTGTCTACAGAAGATTCAAATTTACAATTTACAGGAAGACCACCAATGTGTTGTCATACATTCATTATTATTGCAAACACGAATCTAGGGTTAAAAGGAGTATTTTCCTTACAGTGATCACGAGAGTTTTGCATATCTGCAGTCCTGTGTATTTAGAAGATGAAATCAATAAGCTATTGAACATAGCCACAAAACTGAGATACTCCAGGAATTTAGTTGAGAAGGCGTTACTGACAGCTAGGAAGACTTTTTACATGACTGAACCTAAGGAAATGCCTGCCAAGAAAAATGTACTGGTATTGCCATACAATTATAATTTGGTCTGCCTGAGCGAGACACTAAAGTTCAACATAAATCTTATTTTCAGAAACACTGGGACAGTGAAACAGAGACTGATTAAAAACACACTGCCTAATAATGTGGGTAGTGTTTACAAGGTCCCATGCACTCTTTGCCCACTCTCATACATTGGCCAGACAGGTAAACCACTAGAAACCAGATTATCCCAACACTAATACTCAGTCAGGATGAACCGGGTGTAGAATGCAATCTTTAACCATGTTAGCTCTTGTAATTACCCACTGGGGTGGGCTGCCACCCAGATAATTGTACCCAACAGTACCATCATGGAAAGAAACGTGAGTTCCTTTTCTTCAAACATGATAGGAATGCCGTATATAACTCAAATTATGGGCTGTGTAAACTCGACAGCTATTTAGTCGAGTCTATTGTGCAGAGCCTTAAGCAACAATGTTACACAATAGTGCAGGATTACTCTTTATGCCAGGGAGTCTCGTGATCTTCCGGTTATGTTAGACTAAAGTCTGTAAACTGAATATCATGGTATGCCTGTCGTGAATGTTGATATAATATACAACATCCTGTTAAGTCCGCCACGTACATCGAAATATAACATGTTAGGTCTGCCGTGACCGTTGATATAACCCATGCAGTTACTACTGCAAACAGTAGTAAGGGGGGTTCATTTAAGTATGGGTGAGTATGTTTGAATATCCTAGGGTAGCCCATAAAAGAGGCAAACCGAGTGATGTATTGAGGTCCTAAGCCGTCTAGGTACAGCAAGATAAAGTACACATAGCTGACTGCAACATGATGATTACAACTAGTTTAGTGGTTTACTGAATTAGGCTGTTAGTAATATAATAATAATGACAGTAATGGCAGTAAAAAGAAAAATTCCAGAATTGCCTGAAAAGGAGAAATCATACAGGCGTATTAATTTACACCGATAGTATTTCCTGAATATTCTAGAAGATTCTGGGACATCGGATATTGTCACTTAACAAAATAAGGATATTTATTCCTTCCATTACTTTAGTTAGAATATTGAACACAATCGTTACATTCGGTATGTGGATGATCCACTACTGTAATGTATGTTCTTACATCACACAACTTGTTCCCAGCTGTTAGAGGCTTAGGGTTGGCTATTAACTATCTCCTAGTTACTCTACCTCATGCTATCTGCAAAGTACGAGGCCTACCCCTACCCGATCCCATATGGGGTGGGGTGTGGGGGGACCGGTGGGTGGTTGAAATTCGGCCGGGTCTCCCTTACTCAGAGGTACTGGTGGGTGCCATCCATACTTCCATACTCTGAAAAAACTTTCCCTCATTTCTCCTGTTGCTGTCTTTGAGACATTGCACAGCTCCTGATGACGCACTGAGAACTGTGAAAGCGCTTTCTTGAGCTTAAGATTTCCACCCTTTGTGGCTTGTCTTGCATTGTTAAGATCGCCTGTCCACGATAGTTTGCCAGCAGTCCAGTACACCTTTTTCTCTCCCGCAGCTAGCGGAAGAGAAAAAGGTGTTTTTCCATTTCTGTAAAAGCCAGGTTCCACAGGTGTATTTCAGTTTTCACTTGCTGTAAACCAGTGCTGTTGGGTCAGGACGACCCGAGGTGAGTCAGTCAATGGTTAAAACGATGGCAGATTACATTTGCTTCGGAAGAAATGCAAATGATGGTTTTTAGATAGCATGATGTTAATACTAAAGCAATGGTGAGAATGAACGAAAGTGCAAGAACCCAGGAATCAAAGTGGATATCCTACGGGAAAAATTGATTACAAACAAAATGTCTGTGAAAAATCACACGGTAAACCATGCAAGCTAAACAGCCAAAAAATTAAGAGCCCTAAGGCATATCTTGTACCTACCCGACAGTAGTGGCTACAAGATCCCTGTACGAAGTACTAGTGGAAATAAATGGTATAAAATACCGACACAGTGGAAATATAAACACATATGCAATATTACGTGATCCTTTATTGACAACGTTTTGCCCACACAGTGGGCGTTTTCAAGTCACAAACAGATCTGTTTGTGACTTGATAAAGCCCACTATGTGGGCGAAACGTTGTCAATAAAGGATCACATTATACTGCATATGTGTTTATATTTCCACTAAGTACTAGTACGCTCACATCTAAAGTATGCGCCACTTTCTTGGATTACTTGCCACTCGTCTCATCTACGACTTATTAGCAGAATAGAAAACTAAGCAAAACAACTTTTCTCTGGCATGGACCCAAACAGGATGAATTTGCCATTTAAGTGGAGCCAAGAATAACGGAGAGATGTGGGTGGCTTCATTGTTATGTACAAGATGGACAGCAAGATGACAGTAACAGACAGCTTCAGTAGCACAAGACGGGCAGCAAACATTGCCCAACCTCTTGTCGTACTCGTCTCAAGATCATTACTTCCTCTGAGATAATTCATTCTATGAATAATTATGCTGAAGAATTAAAGTCATATGACCAAGTAAAATCTCTGGTGCACAAATGACTCTAACGTCACCCAGTGTCCTATTTTTATAATTTATAACAATAATTTAATAAAGGTATTAGTTGATAACTTTCTTATATAAGGTGAGATAGACTGATAGCTAGATATAGAGAGGGAGAGAGAGGTGCGATAGGTACTCACCGTAGGTATGATGAGTTCCTTGGGTAGAATAAACCCTGCGGCTCCAGTGTCCCTAAGTTCCAGTGTATATACGAGAGGTATCTCTCCAACACCTGCTGCGTAGTCTCCTGATGTCCCTGACACCGTGTCTAAAAACAGCAGAATGCCTTTCCGTTTAGTGATGCTTTTGAGCTCATTCCTTACTTATTCCATATATTATTTACTTCTAACTTTAAACTTTCTTAGTACTGCATAAACACATCCACATAGCGAAAATAATGAAGATATGAATATTACTATGTACTTCAATCTACCATCGATACTGGTAGATCGAAATACTGAGAGCACTTCGAATCTTCTGTTTCATTTTTCTCTGTGTGGGCGTCTCCGTGACATTGATTAGTGTTTACTGCACTTTTGTGTTTGGTTTTCTAACAATGATATATTTTCTAACAACATTTATGTTACAAACATTTGCAACAAACTGAATTATAAATACGTGGACTCACAGAAGAGTTCTCCGAAGGTTCCCGCTATGTAGGAGACTCGCTCGCCAGAAAAGATGGACTCGACCATGTCTTTTCCCACTCTTTCCTTCAAATGGAAAACGACGAGAGGTAATTTATGCTTTCCTATTTAAGTGGAAAAATTGAATCCAGGCTAAAATCATTTTACAGTAGACTTTCAAAGCTCTGCCTTACCTTAGGTCGGGCAGACACACGAAAACAACCGTTGTCCAGCACTCTGGTTTACCACGATCTCTTCAGCTGTGAGCTGTATTCTCTACTTTTGAGCTACTGGACACCAAGATCTGAGCAAAGGAATTTCTACGGTATTTGAGACAAAATCCAATTTGCAAATATACTTGCGAAGACAATGATTAAACTGCTTAAAATATACACATCAGTAAGCTAGATAAGTTACACTGGCAGCATTTATTCTGGAAAATTGACTGGATAACAATGTCAACGTTCTACTGTAACTTCTCAAACGTTATGTATAAATTTAGGGAAAATGAATTGCATTTGATCTAATAATTCACTAAGCTATAATGTAAGAAATATTTAAAAACACGAAGGATCTATAAAAAAAGAAAATGAAAATCGTCAAAAAAAAAAAAAAAAACTGGAGCAGCTAACCACGAAGGAACACTGGATTTGTGTTCCTGACCGGAGAAAAACTTGCTGACACACTCATAGAGGAAACAGGATCTGCAGGAAAGAACTGAAGGTATAAAGAGGGACGAGATTCATAAGTATTAGAAGACAAACTTGAGTACCTTAAGTAGGTTTAGGAACTGCAGTCTTTATAATGGAAGAAACGGAATCTGTTTTATGAAAAGAACTTGCGTTAAAATAATTAGGAGAACTGAAGTCACTTTAATGAGGGGAAAAGAGCTGATGTCACCATTATTGTGAAAATGAGGTAACTGCAGTCACTATGATGAGAGATAGTGATCAGTAGTTTCCAGCATGGGAACTAGTGTTCTCCATCATGTGGAAACTAATTACCATTAAGGGTAACTAGAGTCACCATTGAGAGAGAATTAGAGGGAAGATCATGTAGAACTAGAGTCACCATCACGGGAACTAAGGACACCATCATGAGAGAATAAGTCACTATCATGGGGGAATTACTCATCATTATTGGGAACGAGATTAATCACCATTTGAAAATTTAAAGTCACTATCAAATGAGGGACAAGAATATCCATAATAACTGGAACAAAACTTACCATCATGAAGAATTAGTCACTATCATAAGAATAGTAGAGATAAAGTCACTATTAAAAGGAAGCTAGAGTCACTATCATAAGAAAGCTAGAGTCAGCATTATGTTAGAACAAGAGCCACTATATCATGGGGGAACTAGAGCCACTATCACAGGGGCAGCCATAAGCAAAATCATAAGAGTAACTAGAGTCACCATCGATGAAAGTAGTTAGTCACTATCAGGGTAACTAGTCACTATGGGAAGTAAGCCATTATCAAAGAGAACTTGAGTCACCAGAGGAGGAATTAAAGTCACAATCATGGGAAATAAAGTTTTAATCATTAGGCGAAACAACTTATTATCATAGACGAAAATAAATTAAATATAATAGTTAAATCATACCACGAGCGGGATTTGAACTCGCGGTCAGAAAGTCTCAAAACTCCAGACCGTCGCGTTAGCCACTGGACCAGCTAGCCACAATAAGATTCATCCAACTAGGTATATTTCTACACCATAGGAAGGTTAGCATAGGCACCACTGTGACCACAAATGCAAGTTTTTACAGACGTATCTCCAGCTAGAGTGGCCGTGACGAACTCTAGCTCAAGTCCCCTCAATGCCGTCAACATGGCTCACGAAATCGTAATGACACGATTGCATGTTGACGGCATTGAGGGGACTTGAGCTAGAGTTCGTCACGACCACGCTAGCTGGAGATTCGTCTGTAAAATCTTGCATTTGTGGTCACAGTGGTGCCTATGCTAACCTTCCTTCTTCTTCTTCTTATGACCAGAGTTTTGGTAAGATGGGTAAGGAAGAAGGATGGGTAAGGATAGAAATCTTGGAAAAGGGTGGGAGGGGGGAGAGAGGTAGGATATAAAAGGTAAGTGGCCCAACCACTTTGGTGTAATTTAAAAAGTGTATGTGGAATAATAAAATATTCTTGAAGGGGTATAATACTAACCCATCAGAGTCACATAGATATAACAGATATATAAGTACATGACTCTGAATTGGTAGTAAATATACAAGATGCAATTGCTTTTTTTTTTCTTTTTTTTTCTTGCGATTGCACAGCGGATATTTAAACGACAATGAAGGCAATAATTTTCTGGCCAGTTTATAAAGAATTACTTGACACATTAGTTTCTTACAAGGTGGTGTCCCGCCATAGTAAATGTAGCATAATTTTAACAGTAGAATGTTATACATGATGTCTCCCTAATTGGGGGCGATGATTTTCTTAGTATACATAGAAGGGTTCTGGTGTTATCCAATCATCTTCATCTGCAGGGAGGTTGCTCAAGATCATTGGTCGATGGTAATCGTCTTTATGGATAAAACAACGGACCCTCTGTGGGAGAGTCATTCTTTGAGTCCTGTGAGGAGTATTGATGTTATAATCCGTGGTATTTTCAACTTGGAGAGGATGTTCTCTATCTGGCATGTAAAGTTCTTGCATTGCATATAGTTGTTTCTTCTTCAGGGTGTCAAGGCGTATATTTAAGGCAGTAATATCTTGTTGTACGTGTAAATCTGCCATTTTAACTCTGTCCCTCCTCCTGGTGCCCGTAATGAAGCGGAGAGCTCTATTCTGGACCCGTTGCAACCGTAGCATGTTGGTCTTTGTTGTTAATGACATTGGGACACATGGGTATTCGAGTATAGGTCTTATTATCATTTTATACAGATGTTTTTTGACATGTGAAGGGGCTTGATTGAATCTAAAGAGACTGTTAAGACCGGCTTTGGCTATAAGATGTTGAGAGGAGCAGCCTGTCTATTTCATATCCTCTGATGGAGATGCCCTCTTTATCTTCGATGGTTGATGCAAAACATCCTATCGTGCTAACAAGGACTTTGTCAGGGTTGGTCGTAATTCTCCATTTCTTTTCCCAATTAGATGTTCGATGAAGTTCAATATTCATTTTTTCTTTGACTCTCTCATACTTGTATTTTCCTGTTACAGGAATTGATGAGACGACATGGATAACATCATCTGCAAATTGCGTTATAATTGTATCAATAAACTCTGGTTGAGGAAGATCATTCACATAAATGTTGAATAGAATTGGACTAAGACAAGAACCTTGTGGGACACCAGCTGTTGGTATAAAAGGCTCTGTCGACCTGCCGTGAAAGGTGGGAATGATTTTTCTTTGAGTTAAGAAGTTATATATTAATCTGAGAAAGGTCCAGTTATGGTCTGGTAGGTCAATAAGTTTGTATATAAGACCATCATGCCATAAGCTATCAAAAACTTTATGAACATCTCTGGTGGCAATTAGGGCAAGATTGCCCTGATGCTTTAGACTTGCAACAGTATCGAAAATAATATTAATTGCATGATGGGTTCCTCTATGTGTTCTAAAGCCAAACTGTTTTTCAGTAAAAAGGTGATTAAACTCCATATAGTAGTTCAGTCTGCTGGAAATGATCTTCTCAAGAAATTTTCCAGTGACTTCAAGTAAAGATATAGGTCGATAGTTCCCTGGTTGATGGATGTCTTTATTGGGCTTAGCAAGAAAGATCATCCTAGCAGTCTTAAAAACAACTGGAAAATGTCCTGAGGCCAAGATGGTATTAAAGATATTAACCAAAGACTGTTTACAATTTCTGGGTAGGAACTTTATTTGTTTCATTGTTATTCCAGAGAGAACAGGGGCTCTATTTCGCATTCTTCCAATAACCTGACACATCTCGAGTAATGTATTAGGTCTAGTAAGCGGGTGGGCATCTTCAAGAGTTGATGTATCGATGGAAGGTAGTGGTTGTAGGTCATCTAAGTTCTCATCTATCCATTCATTTACCAACTGATAGTGATTATTGTTAAATCGACGACTGTTATTGTGGGAGAGAATTTTCTCCTGTGGATCATCAAGTTTAATCTCAACATCTTCATCATCCTCGTCAGTGAAGGTATGAATTAGGTAGTTAGGAGCCTTGTGCTTTGCCCCTAAAAGTTGTCGGATCTTACTCCAAAATTTTGCTGGCTCACGTTTATACTGATTAGCTTGGAGAACTAGCAATTTCCATAAGTCACGTTTGTGATGACTAATCATGTTAATTAATTCTTGCGTTAATCTGTGCAGTGTAGCTAATGGTGGTTGTCGCGTTTGAAGATGCCTTCGACATTCTGTTTGATAATTTCTCAAAGCGTCTCTAATTTCCCTCGTAGGTTTATATTGTTGGTAGATCTTTGTGGAAGCTAATTGGCAAGTTACATTAGTAGCATCAATTATTCGATTGTGAAGGGACCTGATCGCGTCGTCAATTGCAGTGGAAGGTAGATTTTCCAATGACACAATTTCATCGTCACCCAGAAATGCCCTGAAGGGATCAAATCCTAGGGTGTTAAGATTGGGTTTAGGAGGTACAGGTATTCTAAATGGAGAAGTTTGTAGTTGTATTATAACAGGGATATGGTCAGATCCTACGTTTCCACCAGGAGATATATGACAGTGAAAGATGTCACAGTCTCTGTTTGTCAGGACTATATCTGGTGTACCTGGATGAGGACCAATATACGATTTAAAGAATGGGCCTTGAAATGACAAGTTTCTGGCTGTCATGATATTAAATAGTTGTTTTCCTTTCAAGTCACCCAGTGGATTACCAGCTCCACAGTTAAAGAGGGCAGGGTGATGAGCATTAAAATCTCCCGCTAGAATTGTTGGAATATTCCTGCTTAATATCCTATGTAGAGGAATTTACTCTATATATTGTTGTCTCGGGGGAAAATATCCAGTTCCTATCACTAGTTGGCCATGAGACGTCGTCATTTCTATTGCAAGAATGTTATCTTCATCAACGTGAATATTTTTAAATGCATAGCCTAATTTAACTAAGATGGCTTCGCCACTATAGGATCCTCTCGA